TGTGTAGCCGGTGCGAGCTTACCTTTCGACGAATCGTGCGTACAATTGTGCACTCTGCAGCATGTGGGAGCCCGAGGAATCACGGGTCGCCTTGCATTTCACACAGGCGTAAGGCAGCTTGCATGTAGCCAGGCGTGCCGATTATTTATGATTTAAGTTAAGGAGGCAACGGCGATCAGCGATTGAACCCCGAACCCCCACGTGCACAGCCGAGTGCAGGAGGCACTTCTCCCTCCCGACCAACTCCGTACAGGTAACACGTACTACATCAGCTCCGATTAATAAATAAACGTTAAATGGATATTACGTGAATGGCAATCGACCGACATGAGATTGGCGATGTAAATTGACTGTCGGTCGAGTTATCGGCGGCGATGAAGACACGCGCAACGATTAAGACTTTTGATATTAAAGTTCATTTCAAGATACATATATATAAATACATATCATATTGAATGCTGGCGCCGCTCAATCTCTGCCGGAGGAATTTTAAGCCGCGGTGTTTTGGCGGTGGAGGGCGTCTCTTTAACACGAAGGTTTTCACGACCAATATTCATAATACGGGGTTTTTTGGGTTAGGTCCCATAATGTGACGGCATATAAATAACCCAAACGGCAATTGAAACCCGTAGTCATTTATATGCATTCGTTAATCGCCACCCAGCCGCACAAGAAGAGCACACAAGCGTTGTCATCAAATCAACCCTCCATTTAAGGATCGAAACAGGACGGTTTCTCTGCAAAATCTGGCTGTCACCTGATGAAGCTAGATGCAATTACTGGCGAAACGTCGTACTCAAGATTGTAAATGCTGTGGTTTAGCTCTTCAACACACCGGTGTGCTGTACTAGTATACTACACTATACACTACACTACTATACACTACACTATACACTACACTACTATACACTACACTATACACTACAGTACTATACACTACACTACTATACACTACACTATACACTACACTACTATACACTACACTATACACTACACTACTATACACTACACTATACACTACACTACTATACACTACACTACTATACACTACACTATACACTAAGCACTACACACACTACACTATATACTACACTACACTATACACTACACACTAGTGCTGTACTAGTAACGAATTGGCATGCTCTGTTTAGGTGACACACCTTACTAATTGGCTGTGTCGGGTGGTGGTGGATTTAACGACACTTTTATATATTTGCGCGATCTAACCCCAAAACAACCTGTGGTATGGATGGTGTCTCTGGTCGCTATTGCAGGCGTGAGATCTCCACTTATTTCTTGAGTCGCACTATGTTAGTCTGCCGTATTTTTTGCCGAATCTTACTAATAAGACGGCGTTGGGCCCCTCATGGCAAGTTGATTATTATTACTACGACCATTGAGCATTAGTAACTCGTTCGTTTGCATCAATCCAACTCGAATCGAAGGATATAGCCGAGTCGGAAGATAATTGTGGAGTGTTTTGGTGATGCAAAATATAAGTAGATATTTTTTGTGATACGTACCTGTCAACCCCTTATCAGTACCGTACTTTATTACAAATTCAGACATTGTTGGTCACCCCCATGCCCTTTATAAATCTCAACGTTCACCCTACAAAGTCCCATCAAGAGAGAGAAACACAAAGACACATTTTTTGCCCGAACTGAAACGGCTGTACGCCGTGTGGACCTCAAAACTCGATTTCCCTGCACAAAAATACGGGTAAGCTATACGGGTTGACAGGTATACTACAATACACTGCTATAAACTACGCTACTATACACTACACTACTATACACTACACTACACACTATACTGCTATACACTTCACTATACACTACACTACAATACACTACACTATATACTACACTACTATACACTACACTACTATACACCACTACTATACACTACACTACACACTATACTGCTATACACTTCACTATACACTACACTACTATACACTACACTATATACTACACTACTATACACTACACTACTATACACTACACTACAATACACTACACTATATACTACACTACTATACACTACACTATATACTACAGTACTATACACTACACTACTACATACCTGTCAACCCCTTATCAGTGCCCTACCTTATTACAGACAAATTCAGACCCGATTGGTCACCTTGTGCCGTGATAAATCTCAACGTTCATCCTACAAAGTCCCATCACAAACGCCTGGAGGCCACATGGACCCGAAAACTCTATTTCCCACGTACAAAAATAAGGGGTAAAACCGTGTGGGTTGACAGGTATGGTGAAGGCGGATAACATTTAGCGTTGTCGGTTGTGTTGTTGCGGCCCATTGGGAATGTACAGACTGGCCACTATGTAGCAGTAATTTAACGTTGAGCCAATGGGGTGAGCAGAATAGGCGGATTTTTTCGAAAGGTTATATCACGTAACAAAGAATAATTGTTCAATATGCGTTCATTGCCGGTAAAGTAGAATTTTGCAAATTTGAAATTAATGTAGTTCGATGTTTAAATATCGCTTTGTTATTCATGATATAAGCACATGTTGTTTCACTTACGCAACATTATCCGGGACTGTGGGCAGTTCAGGAGACACAACAGATGTTTTTGGGCAGTTGTTTCTTTGTAGAGATGTTTGTATGTTCAACGTTATCATGAATTTAGATTTGTGACATGGAGAGGAGGGGGGGATAGTCTGGTCTTCGACAACCAGCCTTCGACACATCGTGCGATAACCTCAAAGTGCACCTGGGCCTGGCATCAGACGCCGTTGTGACGTCACCGTCACGTGGTGGCGAATGGCGGCTGTTTTGGTATCGGGTAGTCTGGTGACTATTGCAGGTGGATGTGATCGCTCCTTTCGGAAGGAGACTTTGAAATAACAAAAAAATTGCCGTTTCAAAAACCGCCCGTCCCCTGGTGCTCAGCTGTTGTGGAGTGCCCCCCCCCCCCCCCCCAACTTCTCCGGAGGGACATAAACACAAAGGAGAGTAAATCTTACTCATCGTAGTCTCTGAACGTTATTTTTATTATTACACGCTTTTATTTAACTCACTCTGTGTGTTGTTGTTGTTGTCGTATCCTCAAATCTTGTAACTCAACGTTAACCCACTTCCCAATGTGGTATCGACTACAAACTTGGTATACTTATGTCATACTGATGACAATACTATATTCTATCGTTAAAAATTAAAAATATATTTTTAAACATTCATTTTTATACGTTACGTTTCGGCTTGGGTCTAATTGTCCACGCTCAACTCACGTTGGCTGTAAATCACCACGGGCCCCTTACGTTGTGGCAAGCCTCGGGGCCACTTCCTGGAGTCGTGGAGTTCTGCGACTACTCGTACGGTACATTTCATTAAAGCGTGTTTTTAAAAAAGTATTTTTAAATATTACTTATTATCTATTTAGCCGACCTGTCTCCCCCCCCCCTCGCCAGGATTCACGACCGGAGGAGAGAGGGCATGTGGCGGACCGGCTACACACACATCCTTACACCATCATTACATTCGTGCTTACGCACACAAAGACAAAGATCCCCCCCCCCCCCCCCGTGTAGCCTTAACAGACTGTTGGGGCAAGCGCTGTTAGCGAGCACCTACGAAGGCCGGCATGGCACACGAGGGGGTGGGTGGTCAACACGACGCCCGGCCACCTTTGTCTCCCCAGTGGCGATGTTTACACACCGCACCAGGTACTCATTCGAGGCTAAGTTGACCTAGGGGAGGCCCAGGACCGGTTCATATAATCGTCACCGGTATTACATACATCCCTACATATGTAACAGTTAGGCCTGGCGGCCAGCCCAATACCAGAAGTCTTAAGGACTTCACAGGCAGGCCAAGTTTAAAAGTAGTACAGTCACTGACTTGGTCGGTTGGAAAAGGAGAATGGGGAGTAGAAGATAGAGAACCTGCTAGAAAGGGGGGTACAGGATACATATATATGAAGAGCCCGAGAGAGATCTCGAGGCGCATTCTGGAGTGAAGCCTCTATAAGTATGGTCTCTGTGTCTGCACATTATCAGCGAATAAACCACACAGTTGAGCTATACTTAACCTCGTCCGAAGTCCTTTTCACATACATCCTAACATACACACATACATCCTTACATACACACATACATCCTAACAGACACACATACATCCTAACATACACACATACATCCTTACATACACACATACATCCTTACATACACACATCCTTACATATATAAACACATGCATCCTTACATACATACACACATGCATCCTTACATACACACATGCATCCTTACATACAAACATACATCCTTACATACACACATACATCCTAACATACATCCTTACATACATACACATATGCGTCCTTACATACATACACACATGCATCCTTACATACATACATTCAAACATACACACATACATCTTCACATACACATACACCCTTACACACATATACCCTTACACACACACATTCATCCTTACATACACACGTACATCCTTACATACACACGTACATCCTTACACAAATACATACATCCTTACATACATCATTACGTAAATACCAATACCTGCCATTCGCCATTAAATTACGGTGACATCACCAGGTGCACTTTGAGGCCCGTTAAGTGTCTAAAGGCTCGCTGACAGGAGGTCATGGGACAGACCCAGCAGGTGCCATGGGTTGGCTGACTGAGATGATTCGCAGATGCACCACCAGCTGTACCCACTACTGTACCAACTTGCTGCATTTTAGCAGCCTGGCTAAAATACAGAAAGTTGGAGGGCGACTGCCTCCAACTGCCCAGTAGCGTCTTTTACGAGCCTCCTCCATAGAGGCCGATCTTGACACCCCTGGTACCAGTCTTCGGCAAGTGCACTCAGCTCCACATTACCTTGTACAACATCACTCCATCTCTTCTCTAGCCCGTGCCGTGCCCATTAAGCACCCTCTATTCGGCCAAACAGAAGCTGCTTGAATATGTGGTTGCTGGGCATGCAGGCTACATGACCCAGCCAAAGCAGCCTTGCCTGTCAGAGGAGCTCACTGATGGGATTTTGTCCAGATCTTTCAAGGATTTGTGAGCTCCTCACAATCCAGCCTGGTTAAACCCAGGATGAATCGTAGGCAGGCCAACCTGAATATTTCTAACCGGCACAGATGTTGCATTAGAGGGGTCCAAATTTTACAAGCATACAGAAGAGAGGGCATGAATGTGGCTAAGAAGACCCAAAGCTTTGAGGGGAGCGAAAAACCAGGTAAGTTTGCACACAGCATTACGCACCCATTGAAAAAAGAATGCCGATTGATTCGGAGTGAGACCTCTGCTGTCAAACCGGAGCTGGTCATAAGAACAATGCCCAGGTATGGGCAACTCTCCACTCTCTCCACAACTGCTCCACAACAAATGTGGAGCTGAGCTTGTGGAGTGTTTGATGACACAAAACATCCAGGCAGGTGCTTAGGTTTACTGGGGCAGTTGGCAAGTCCCCACCACTTAGCGGGTCCCTCCAGGTTCAGCAACAGCACCTCCAACTCCTCCTCTGAGTGAGCAGCAATCACCAGATCATCAGCAGAGACAGCATGGTTAACCAATAGGAAGTCATCCTTGACCACCCCCGGGCATCGATCAGCCTCCCATTGCATCTGTATAACAGATGGAAATTCCTTCGGTACAGCCATAGAAAGCTTCTCGAACTACGTGGTCAAAGCTGATGTTAAATAATATGGGAGCCAGAGGACATCTACTGTCGCCAAGGTGAACATAGAATGGCTCCGAATCCTGGCCACATAGCTTTACCCGGGTCTCCCCAACATCATGAAGGTCCTTAATGATCGTGAGCAGAGATTTTGGACAGAGAAACAGGGACTCCGAAAGCACAGAGAACAATCCACGGATGTAGGTCTTGTTGGAATTCCCTACACCTCTGCTGTAGCAGACGCACAGACAATACGTCATCCGTGCATGACCGCCCTGGTCTCAAACCGCATTGGGGCTCCGCAAGCCTCTCCTCAGCGTGCCTGGCAAGGCGGTGTTGAATAATCCTTGCCAGGACCATTTCCCCGGGCACACTGAGGAGTGAGATGCCCCTATAGTTGTTACACCAGGGCATCCGTCAAAATCCTGCGGAAACCCGTCCTGTGGTCTGGACATTTGCGATGATGTCATGTAGGGCAGTCTGCACACAGATGCCAACCCTCACAAGCAAACACCCTTACACAGATCCTTCAAGAAGCAGTTACACCCTCCTCCTTTTCCTCCACCACCTCCTCTTCCTCCTCCACTCCCTCCCCGCCCTCCCCCTCCCCCTCCTCCTCCTCCTCTTCCTCCTCCTCCCCGGCGTGCGTCTCCATGTGACGCTTGAGCACCGACTTGTAGGCGAAGCCCTTGCCGCACACGGCGCACGCGTGCGGCCTCTCGCCCGTGTGAGACCTCACGTGGCACACCAGGTTGAGCTGCTTGATGAAGCCCTTGCCGCAGAAGGAGCACGCGTAGGGGCGCTCGCCCGTGTGCGTCATCAGGTGGTCCTTGAGGAACTTGGGCACGGTGAAGCCCTTGCCGCACACGGGGCACAGGTGGGGCCGCTCGTCCGTGTGCGTCCACGCGTGCCTCTGCAGCGCCGACGACTGGATGAAGCGCTTGCCGCACACGGGGCAGCCGTGCGGCTTCTCGCCGGTGTGCGTCATCATGTGGTCCTTGAGGACCTTGGGGAGGGTGAAGCCCTTGCCGCACACGAAGCACGCGTACGGCCTGGCCGCCGCGGCCGCCGCCCGCGCGTCGGCGTCGTCGGCCGAGGCGGCCTCGTCCGCCGGGGGGGAGCCGCGGGCGCGGAGCTGCCGGCGCCGCCGCCGCCGCTCCTCCTCCTCCTCCTCGGCGGCGTGCGTCCGCGCGTGGTACTGCAGCGAGGAGGACTGCGTGAAGCTCTTGCCGCACGCGGGGCACTTGAAGAGCTTCTCGCCCGTGTGGATCCACATGTGGCTGCGTAGGGTGGAGGGGCGCACGAAGCCCTTGTCGCACGCCGGGCACTGGTAGGGCTTCACGTCCATGTGGATCTTGCGGTGGCGCCGGAGGCTCTTGGGCGTCGCGAACTCCTTGCCGCAGTCGGGGCAGGCGTGCTGGTGCTGGTGGTGGTGGTGGTGGTGCTGCGGTTTCAGCGGAGGCCGGGGATCCGACGCGTCGGCGTCATCGGCGTCACCGTTACCGTCGCCGGCGTCGTCGCCGTCACCGTCGGCGTCGTCCGCTCCGTAGGCGCAGGGGTCGCCCAGGACCTGCTGCTGCTGCTGCTGCTGCTGCCGCCGCCGCCGGCGGCCCTTGCCGGCGTTCGTCCGCATCGACCGCAGCCGCATGCGAGGCTGGAGGCCAAACTCCGTGGCGAGTTCGCTGCGGTAGACCTCCTCGCTCTCTCGTCCCGTGAGGCCGCCGCCGCCGCCGCCGCCGCCGAGCGCGGCGCCTGCGGTCGTTGGGCGCCGGCCGGGCAGACGAAAGCGAGGTGTTAAAAATAACAACAAAAATAAACTTTAAAACTTGCAAAGGTTTTACGTTCTCGAGAGAAAGCGATTTTTGACGCTCGCTCGCGTGTGTCCGTGTGTGTGTTCGTGTGTGTGTGCGTGTGTGTGTACGTGTGTGTGTCCGTGCGTGTGTGCGCGTGTGTGTGTCCCTGTGTCCGTGTGTGTGTGTGTCCGTGGTCCGGCAAAACAACCCCCTACCTCCTCACGGTGCCGGAAGGGCAACTCTGTCGTGGCCAGTGCTGTGGTGGGAGGTCCAATTTTGATTGGCTCCTCCCCTCATGGCGTCTGTGACCACCACAGGGGCTAAACGGGGGCTCTGGACGGGTGCGAGGGGCTGATAACCCCTCCACCTTCAATTAATTACCACTAAACCACGAGTTAAACTGAAATATGTAACTAATAAGCTTGTGCCGGAGGCCCCGGGGGGCCAGGCGTCTATGACGTCTCCTGGCCAAACCCCAATTGGCGGAGCCAGGAGATTGAATATCTACACTCGGGGCTCCTCCAGAAACAACGAAAAGCCACTACGGGTGGCCACGTGGAATGTTCGAACGCTCACTGCGGAGGAGAGGCTGCCACTCCTCTGTCGGGAGCTGGACCGGTACCACCTGGATCTGTGTGGCATTCAGGAGGTCCGGTGGACCGGCTCTGGCTCCTGCCACCATGAGGGGTGGGGACAGTCCTCTACTCGGGGCAGCAGACTGCCAAACAACAGGGTGTGGCTCTTCTTTTGAACAAAAGAATGAAGGGGGCGTGGGAGCATGGCGGTGAGGTGTGGGAAGCTGTAAGTCCCAGGCTACTTTGGGCTCGCCTTCCCATCAACTGGAGGCGAGGAATGGTGGTCGTGGTTACTTATGCCCCCACCGAAGATGAACATCCGTGGAGGGATGCAGGCAAAGCCGATGAGTCAGATGCCTTCTATGACCTCCAGCAACAGGTGCTGGCTAAAGTGGCCCCTCAGGATAGTCATCTTGTTGGGTGACTTCAATGCCTGAGTTGGTCATGATGCTGGCACCTGGCTTGGAGTGATTGGAGGGAAAGGGCAGGATCAGCTTAATAACAACGGTAGGAGGCTGCTAGATTTTTGTGCAGCCCATGGACTTGTAATTACAAACATGCTGTTCCGGCATCGGCACATCCACACAACATCATGGATGCATGCCGAGTCCAAGCAAGAACATCTCCTGAACTACATAGTGACGGACCAGCGGATGCGAGCCCATGTCCTTGACACCAGGACCTACCGTGGAGCTGATCTGCCCTCTGACCATCGACTTGTCATCTGTAAGATGCGCTGCCCATTCTTCCGCTCCGGTGGTGGGTGTACACCCAGGACCCCATTCCAACCAAAAGTGGCCTGGTCTCGGTTATTTGATGAAAGTTGCAAGCGAGAATTTCATCATCGCCTGCGGCTGGGGTTGGCATCGTCCCCCACTCCTCCTGATGTCGAGGGTAAATGGGCGAGGTTTAGAACTATGACTCATGCGGCTGCAATGTCTGCTTTGGGTACGCGGTCAGGACCTCCCCAGAGACCCTGGCTGACAGAGGAGGTGTTCAGGATTGTTGAGAAAAAGCGACAGGCCCACTGTCATCGGCTACAGAATCCCACGTCAGAGAATGAGGAGGCTTACCGCAACCTTCGCTCGGAGGTTCGGAGAGCCGTGAGGCGCTGCAAGGATGGGTGGTGGTCGCGGGTTGCTGAGGAGATGGAGTCTGCCTCAGTGGCCCGCGATCACAAATCTCTATTTAACTCCATCAAAAATGTAACCTGCAGTGCCACACCTATTATCATCATTAGGGGAAAAAATGGTGATCCAATCTCCGACCCCCAGGAACAGGTTTGCAGATTTGCTGAGCATTTCTGTGAGGTCCTGGGGGAGGTAAAATCCCTCAGCCAGGAAAACATCGTGGCACAAAGTGAGGATGACCCTGCTGAGGCTGCGGTGCCTCAAATATTGGAAGAAGTCACCCCCTGTGAGTGGCTGGCTGAAGTGCCATATGTTGAGGAAGTACTGAGGGCGATTCGGAGTCTGAGACCAGGAAAGGCAGCGGGCAGAGATGATCTCCCACGCGAAATGCTGAGGGAGGGTGGAGTTTGTGCACAGACTGCCCTATATGACATCATAACAACAGTCTGGACCAATGGACGGGTTCCGCAGGATTGGAAGGATGCCCTGGTGGTCACCCTCTTTAAGAAGGGGGACCGCACAGACTGTAACAACTGCAGGGGCATCTCACTCCTCAGTGTGCCGGGAAAGGTCCTGGCAAGGATTATTCAACATCGCCTTGCCAGGCACGCTGAGGAGAGGCTTGCGGAGCCCCAATGCGGTTTCAGGAAAGGGCGGTCCTGCACAAATGCCATATTTTCTGTCTGTCTGCTACAGCAGAGGTGTAGGGAATTCCAGCAAGACCTACATCTCTGCTGTATTGACCTGGTCAAGGCCTATGATACCATCAATAGGCCTGGGCTCTGGGTTGTTCTTCGTGCTTTTGGAGTACCTGACCCTCTGCTCACGATCATTAAGGACCTTCATGATGGTGAGCGGGCCCGGGTAAAACTACGTGGCCGTGAGTCTGAGCCTTTCCCTGTACACCTTGGGGTGTGATAGGGATGTCGTCTGGCCCCCACATTATTTAACATCTATTTCGACCACGTAGTTCGTGAAGCCTTCAATAGCTGTACCGGGGAAATCTCCATATGGTACAGATATAATGGGAGGCTGATCGATGCACGGGTGCGGTCAAGGGATGGCTCCCTATTGCTCAACCACGTTATGTATGCTGATGATTTGGTAATAGCTGATCATTCAGAGGTGGAGATGGAGACGCTGCTGCTGAGACTGGAGTGTGCCACTAAGAGATGGGGCCTTACCATCAGCCCCACCAAAACTAAGCACCTGCCTGGGTATTTTGTACCATCGGACACTCCACCCCCACAACTCCCAATCGGTGATGTGGCAGTTGTGGAGAGAGTGGAGAGTTTCCCATACCTGGGAAGTGTGCTTATGACTGGCTCCAGTTTAACAGCAGAGGTCTCACGCCGAATCAGTCGAGCGGCAATATCTTTTCATCGGTTGCGTAACGCTGTGTGGAAGCTACCTGGTCTGTCGCTCCGCACTAAGCTTCAGGTCTTCTCGGCCACGGTCATTCCCTCCCTTGTCTACGCTTGCGAAACGTGGACCCCCCTAATGGAACATCTTCGCTGGTTAGAAACATTTAGGCTGGCCTGCCTACGATCCATCCTGGGTTTAACCAGACTGGATTGTGTGAGGAGCTCACAAATCCTTGAATGATCTGGTCAAGGTTCCATCGGTGATCTCCTCCGGCGGGCAAGGCTGCGATGGCTGGGTCATGTAGCCCGCATGCCTAGCCACCGCACGCCGAAACAGCTTTTGTTCGGCCGGATCTAGGGGGCTAAACGGGCACGGCAGGAGGACGTGGAGCTGAGTGGACTTGCCGATGACTGGTACCAAGATCGGCCTCTGTGGAGGAGGCTCGTGAAGAACGCTACTGGGCAGTTGGAGGTAGTCGCCCTCCAACAACAACGGAGGGCGGAGGAGCGACGTTCACAACAACGAGCGGAGCGCCGGGTGGCTAAAGCACAGTAGGTTGGCACAGTAGGGGGCACAGGTGGTGCATCAGCCAGTCATCTCATCTCAGCCAGTTGACCCGTGGCACCTGCGTCTGCCCCGTGACCTCCTGCCAGCGGGCGATCGACACTCCATGTGCCCTCAAGGTGCCCATGCCCTAGCACAAGCGTCGTGGTGACGTCACCGCCATTTAGTGACGAATGGCGATTGTTGTTGTTGTTGTTGTGTGTGTCCGTGTGTGTGTGTGTGTGTCCGTGTGTGTGTGTGATGCCGTAGTTATGTTTCATGGAATCGAATGGCCAATGTCCAGGTTGTCCTTCCTCCCTCCATTTCAATCTCCCGGCCCCCCCCATCTCCCTCCCCCCCCATCTCCCCCCCCCCCATCTCCCTCCCTCCATCTCCTTCCCCTCCCCCCATCTCCCTCCCTCCCGTACCGTCGTCGCCGTCGTCGCTCTCCACCTCCACCTCGATCTCGGCGACGCCCGGCGTGGCTCCTCGGCCTCGCCAGGAGGCCACGGCCGGCCCGGACCTCACGGTGGAGCCGTCGTGCAAGATGCGGCCCTCCAAAGCATCGTCGTCATCATCGTCGCAGTCTGTCTCCATGTCCTCTTCTTTGATGTAGAGGACATCATCACCTCCTCCTCCTCCATCATCATCTCCACAACCATCATCACCATCATCACCACCTCCACGTCCATCGCTATCACCTCCTCCTCCTCCATCATCATCATCACCACTTCCTCCTTCATCTCCATCACCATCATCACCTCCTCCTCCATCACCTGCATCGCTCTGCGTGTCCTCTTCTTTGATCTGGATGTCGCCTCCGTGAGCTGGGAGAGATCGCAACCAATCGGAAGGTTTACGTTAAGACGGCAGGAGGAAGGAATCTGATGAGCTATGAAGCTCCTTGTTTGTCACAGATGGTCCAGTAGGGAGGCACGGGGGAGGGGGGGAGGTTGCAACAACAACAACCACAACAATAACCACAACAACATTAACAAACACGATACTCACAAACACGATGGGAGCGCAAAGTCTAGGAAAGGTAAATCACAACAAATATGAACACAAATACAACTAAACTATATTTAGTGTGGAGTGTAGTGTATAGTATTGGTGTATAGTGCAGTGTATAGTATTGCGGTGCATAGTAGTGTAGTGTATAGTAGTGTAGTGTATAGTGTAGTGTATAGTGTATAGTAGTGTAGTGTATAGTAGTGTGGTGTATAGTAGTGTAGTGTATAGTAGTGCAGTGTACAGTGAGGGAAAAAAGTATTTGATACTCTGCTGATTTTGTACGTTTTCCCACTGACAAAGAAATGATCAGTCTATAATTTTAATGGTAGGTTTATTTGAACAGTGACAGACAGAAAAACAACAAAAAAATCCAGAAAAACGCATGTAAAAAATGTTATAACTTGATTTGCATTTTAATGAGGGAACTAAGTATTTAACCCCTCTGCAAAACATGACTTAGTACTTGGTGGCAAAACCCTTGTTGGCAATCACAGTGGTCAGACGTTTCTTGTAGTTGGCCACCAGGTTTGCACACATCTCAGGAGGGATTTTGTCCCACTCCTCTTTGCAGATCTTCTGCAAGTCATTTAAGGTTTCGAGGCTGACGTTTAGTAACTCGAACCTTCAGCTCCCTGCACAGATTTTCTATGGGATTAAGGTCTGGAGACTGGCTAGGCCACTCCAGGACCTTAATGTGCTTCTTCTTGAGCCACTCCTTTGTTGCCTTGGCCGTGACAAATGCCGCTCACAATTTCGCACTGGCTGGTGTTCTGGGTAAAAACCTTAGTGATCACTCCTTCATTTTTGGGGTGAGATCATCAGCCAGACCCAAAGCCCCCCATAAAATTGTTGAGAAGCACTCTTTGAGGCACTTCAGCACACAGGCATTTACAAATGATGTGCTTCACTCGGATATTGATAAGGTCTGTTATATCCCCAACCTGACTACGGCTTGGGAGACTTTCAGGTACACGTTTCTCCAAATTCTTAACAAACATGCTCCGTTGGTTAGATTTAAAACTAAAGGCAACCGCCCACCATGGTATGATCCTTTGATTGTAAAGCTCATGAAAACGAGGGACAAGGCTTGGGCATGTGCTCAGAAAAGTAATTTGGTAAATAACTGGCTAGAATACAGGATTTTAAGGAATAGATGCGTAAAAAAAATACGGCATGCAAAAAATGCCTACTTTTCCTCCACTCTCCTGGAATCACATGGAAATGCCAGGATTTTTTGCTAAACAATCAAATCTATCGTAAAGGCATCCAAAACAGACAATTTGCCCGTTGAGCTTAACCGAAATGGGGAATATTTTAAGATTCCCAAAAAATAGTTGACAATTTTAACCTTCATTTTTCTGAAGCTGGTAATCTTTTTGATAATGTATTTGGAGTCACCCCTGTTCCTGCAAATTCCTACACTCCTGTCCAAACATTAAACGAATTTAGTTTCCAACCAATCCACGAAAGTAATATTCTGAAACAACTGTCCTACCTCAAAGGGTCCTCCTCTACCGGAGCAAATAGTTTTCCCGTCTTTGCTCTACTAACTGTTGGTCACCTAATATACAAACATATAGCCCATATTTTCAACCTGTCCATCAAAGAAGCATCAGTTCCTCTAGAATGGAAACATTCCTATGTCCGTCCACTTCACAAAGGGGGCCCTAAAGATCATCCCAATAACTACCGACCTATCTCAATTTTGTCCCCATTGCTGAATTTTTTTTAAAAAATTATTGAACTACCAAATTAGCAGTTTCCTGTCCACCAACAATCTACTACATCTAAAACAATTTGCGTTCCGAAAAAAATTACAGCACCACATCTGCTGCATTAGACTCTTTGAATCAAATTTACAATAGCCTTCGTAATAAGCAGTACTCTGCCTGTCTTTCTCTTGACCTGTCCAAAGCTTTTGATACAGTAGACCACAACACCCTTCTTACTAAACTAAGTTGACTCGGTTTTTCCGAGAACACAGTACAATGGTTAAAAAATTACCTCTTTTCTCGCACCCAAACTGTATTCACAGATGGTTGGAGGTCAAACAGTGTTAAGATAACAAAAGGGGTTCCACAGGGTTCCATCCTCGGCCCCCTCTTGTTCTCTCTTTATGTCAATGACTTGGGCACTGACCTGGATCATTCCAGGGTAAATCTTTTTGCAGATGACACGATACTGATTACTGCTGGTCGCTCTCCGGATGACGTGATTGCTAAGCTCCAGGGTGATTTCAAAAAACTACAACATCAGCTAGTTTCTCTTAAACTAGTCCTGAATACATCCAAAACTAAGGTGCTATGCTTCTTACCGGGACTAAAGCAGGAAGTTATTTTTCCCCAATTACATTCCTTGAATAATTATCAAATAGAGAAAGTCAAGATCTATAACTATCTTGGGGTCAATCCTGGAGTCAAAACTTAATTTGAAAAATCACATTGATTATATTGGTGAAAAGACAAAAATAAAAATTGGTTTTCTGTATCGACACAAGCATTGCTTCCCCCAAATGTTCCGTTTGGAATTGATAAAAGCTACCATACTGCCTCTACTTGACTACTGTAACATCGTGTATAAATCAGCCCTAAGTACTGTACTGAAGAAGCTTGATTCCATCTATCACTCGGCCTTAAGATTTGCATTGAACTGCCCATATAGGACTCACCACTGTGATCTCTACATTGGGTCAAACTTAACATATCTTAATGTTCGACGGCTTGTGCACCAGATCTTATTTATTCACGATGTACTTACATATAAATCCGCAGACTACCTACTGGATCTCCTCTCTGTTTCAAAGAACAAATTTGACCTCAGGTCTTCGCTCATCTACCAGTTTCACATTCCCTATTGCCGTACAAAAACCGGAGGAAGGGCCTTTGCTATTGATGCCCCCAGGGTCTGGAATGCTACTTGAATCACTACCTATGAGATCTTCACTCAAAACTGCTCTAGAGGAATTGTACACCCCTAGCTGCCACTGCTATTCAGTGGCCTAAAATATGGCTCTCGGGTTTGGTGTTATTATTTATTTATGTAGTTTATTGTTAAAAATTCGGTCACAGTCCCTATGATCACTGTTACATTGCATTTATGGCTTTTATTTTGGTGATTTCGAAAACGTTTTTTTTGGTTTGGCCATGTTTTTGTTTATTGTAGTACGGAGTTAAACTGATGGCCTAAATCTTAGTTGTCTTGTGGTTGTTGTTGTTGTTGTTTGACTTGCATCCCACTGGGATTTTTGCACACAGCGTTGGTGTACGGTGCTATTTAGAGAATATTTTGATTTTTTTTTCCTGGATTTTCTGTTTGCACGGTCACACAGTCACACACAAGTCACTTTAAGATGTTTTCTTGTTCGTGTTTTTGTTTTTTGTTTGTTGCGGTTGCACCCGATTCAAGAGCCGAATGGCTCACAGGACTATTCCAAATAAATGGAACTACGGACTGTGTGAGTGACTGTGTGAGTGACTATGAGTGACTGTATCAGTGGCTGTGTGAGTGACTGTGTGAGTGACTGAGTGAATCTGAGTGACTCTGAGTGATTGACCATGTGAGTGACTATGAATGACTGTGAGTGACAATGAGTGACTATGAGTGACTCTGAGTGACTATGAGTGACTGTGAGTGACTCTGAGTAACTGTGAGTGACTGTGTGAGTGACTGTAAGTGACTATGAGTGACTGTGTGAGTGACTGTGAGTGACTCTGTGTGACTGTGTGAGTGACTGTGAGTGACTGTAATTGACTGTGTGAGTGACTGTGAGTGACTCTGAGTGACTCTGAGTGACGGTAATTGAGTGTTTGAGTGATTGTGAGTGACTGTGAGTGACTGAGTGACTGTGAGTGACTGTGAGTGACTATGAGTGACTGTAATTGACTATGAGTGACTATGAGTGATGATGAGTGACTGTAATTGACTGTGAGTGACTGTGAGTGACTCTGTCATTGACTGTGAGTGACCGTGAGTGACTCTGAGTGACTGTGTGAGTGACTATGTGAGTGCTGTGTGAGTGACTGTGAGTGACTGTGAGTGACTATGAGTGACTGTGTGAGTGACAATGAGTGACTGTGTGAGTGACTGTGTAATTGACTGTGTGAGTGACTGTGTGAGTGACTCTGAGTGACTATGAATGACTGTGTGAGTGACTGTGTGAGTGACTCTGAATGACTATGAGTGACTGTGTGAGTGACTGAGTGACTGTGAGTGACTGTGTATGACTGTGTGAGTGACTGTGTAACTGTGTGAGTGACTGTGAGTGACTGTGAGTGACTGTGTGAGTGACTATGAGTGACTATGAGTGACTGTGTGAGTGACTGAGTGACTGTGAGTGACTGTGTATGACTGTGTGAGTGACTGTGTAACTGTGTGAGTGACTGTGAGTGACTGTGAGTGACTGTGTGAGTGACTATGAGTGACTATGAGTGACTGTGAGTGACTATGAGTGACTGTGTGAGTGACTATGAGTGACTGTGAATAACTGTGTGAGTGACTGTGAGTGACTGTGTAACTGTTTGAGTGACTATGAGTGACTATGAGTGACTGTGAGTGACTGTGTGAGTGACTGAGTGACTCTGAGTTAGTCGACTTCGCCCCTCCCCCCTCGCCCCTCGGCTAAGCCCAACCCCCTCCATGACGTCACCTCCCTTGCCC